GTATCTCATGCAAGCAGCATGGAATAATATTCGGCATGCAAAATGCTGGGAACATGGAGTGTGTCTTTGTGCAGTGGGATGACAAGAAAGTTCTCAAGGAGGCTTTGCAACAACAGTGGATGCTTAGCCATCGTGGCTGTTAGAGTAGTGTCTCCTAAGCTAGAAAAACTGCCTATGGAAAGAGAAATTCTTTAAATATAAGCTTTCATGCAATCATTATTATTATTGAATTCTGTTTCCTGTTTACAGTGTTCATTTTTCGTTTTTAAATACAGCTCTTTCACTGCTTTTCTCAACTTATTTATTAATTGTTCTGTAGAAAAGTTAGACGGGAGAGCATGTTGTGGGTAACACCATGTTGTTCACCAATTACTGTGATAATGCAAAAATGATTGTGAAGCCTGAAAGAAAACTGTATTATGTGTGATACAGAGTTTCCTAAGGGCAAATATGCTTTTTTCCCCTTGTTATGTCTGTAGCTGTTAGATAAATATTGTCTGACTGTGTTTAGTTCATTCTGCTCCATTTTTCAATTTAACAATTTGTATAGTAGATTCTGTTCTCCTACATTTGTTTCAAAAATACCATGTTTTAAGTGTGGGGACGTAAATGTTCTCATCCTGACTTACAGCCTAAGCAGCTGAGCACACTAAAAACTTCGTTTCACAGCAGCTATTTTGTGGGTATTATGCAACATGTTCTGTGCTTTGATATAACTGCTCCTAAAGAAAGTGTGTTGCAACATAAATTTATAGCAAAACTTTATGCACTTAATCTGGTAGAACATTTTGGGGATGGGGAAGAGAGCAAGCTGTTGTAAACTCCTATAAAATACAGAAAACTTCTGCTTTTCCTCCTTTCTAACAAGTGTAAATGTTGAGGTTAAGTAGGTGGGGCAACCGGAAGTAATTACTAAGGCCAGTGGCATTTTTGCGGTTTAATAAAGGCAGAAGCTAATTATTCAGTTTTTATTTAAGTGAAATGATGCCAAAAAGGAGGTTCCTGCAGAGCAGCTGCACTCCTTCAGTGTTACCCTAATTTACCACAGACACAACTGTCACAAACAGAACTTTTAAACTTGATATATAGCCACGAAAGTAAGGAGCCCTTTGTCTGGAGTCCATGCAGAAGAACTCCTTTATACAAATCAACCGGCAGATGACGGACAATGATGAAAATTTGATTCTTTGAAGTCATAATGGTCATTGAAATGTGTGAAATTCTGGTATTGAAAAGAGAGCGGCTAGCAAGACTCTAAATCCTGGGTGGTTGCTGGAAGCTTGCTGGGAGGTTTTTCTGTGTTTTGACATCAACTTCCCATTGCTTGTTCCCTGTTTCCTTTATTAAAAAAAGAGGTGGGGGAGTGTGTGCTAAACAGTAGATAGTTGATAGTGGTTATGTACAGTTTTTGTCTATGCATGGAAAGAAATGTCACAGGAGAAACACAACACCTTTATGCACACCTGACCCGTCTATTCAAAAATGCTTGTTTTCGGCAATACTTTCAATCATTTTGTCCATTTCCCTTGAATTACAGAGTTCTATTTCTTGTCCCCTTTAGAATTTTTGCCGTTAGTGGAGTACTTAAAAGATGGAAATTCTCATTTCCTTTAAAAGTAATCTTCC